TTTTTTTAAGGTGATACTGTATACAATATTATATGGTAATAAAAAATTATTCAATTATATAACTTTTGTTATTATTAATATTATATTTAGATTTTTTTTTTTTTTTTTTTTTTTTTTTTTTAAGCGGTATCTTTGATCATAACTTTATTATTGTATATTTCCGATAAATTACATTTTACAGTTACATCAGTATTTTTACAACAACTTAAATTAAGCTACGATTTAGAACTAATTTATTCTCAGATGCAGGCTACCAAATATATCTTAATCCCGTACTATTATTTATATATTGGATTTTATATACTAAGACTATAATTGTCTTTGATCTACTTACTGTATTCCCCGCATCTTTCATATCTATCCGAAGCAACTCCCAAGCAGGTGAATCCCAAATGGGCCTAGGCCTTCGTACTTCTCATAGTGTACTTTCTAACTTGGTGATGGCTCTACATCAACTGTCTCTGCTAGTATTGGGTCCAAACTTTATCTACAGTCTTGCTACCTTTTACTAGACGACTCTTTGTACAACTAAACCACCACACCGGTATATGTTGAGGAGCACTAATATGTCAAATCAGAATTGGAATGCTGTGTCTTCTATACCTTTATATGGAGGCTCCTGTGTGTTGGTCGGGTACAGGCTATGTTGCGTAACTGAGTTACTCCCAACTAGGTTTTGTGATATATAATACCACTTCCAGCTTTCATCCGAATTGGTTGGTGTTTTAATGTTGGTATGCCCTTGCATTGCAGTTGTATCCTGTTCGTATTACTACTACCAGCCTGGTGCTTCCAGCCTAAATTCGAGTTTTTACACGCCTCCGTATATAGACCTATCTCTCTACAGGTAGAACCTTTTCAATTTTAGGCTTTTGTATATTGCCAGAGGTGCTTCCAAATTTGGTAAGGCCAATCCTTTACCACAGATCATCCTCGTATTCACCGCTTCTCTCACTACTCCAGTTTTGGTAGTGTCGTATTACTCTCCCAAGCAAGTACCCAACGCC